GGAAAGTTGTTCATAGTGCATGTATTTGAAAACCTTTTGTATGCTAGATCTTTTCTGGCCCTGTGAATAGATTCAGGAGAATGAAAAAGTCTGATCCTTCTCCAATTAAGCCTGGAAACAGTAGAAGGGGGATTTCCAATGATGAATTTAAACTCTCTAAGGTGATTTTCCTTAGAAGTTCATAATTATGTGTCAAAAATGTCAAAAGGAGGAAGCTAGAGGCAGGCAGATTTGCTGCTTTTTCAGGGAAAAAATAGGCAACTGCCCAAAATGGAAGAAAGTCATAATAAATCTGGACATTGGGTTAATTGGAAAAATAGAAAACAAAATAATCAACTGCAATTTAGTCATTGGAGTGAAGGCTATAATTAGATCACAGTGTTTATTACCGACGCTCTGTATAAGAGTTGCCTAAGAATGACCCAGTTTGATCTTCGATGAAGCCCTGGGACTTTGTGGCAGGGTGTCTAACCTGGGAGAAACAGGAAGACCCTGAGTCAGCAAAGCCTCTCCCCTCTAAAAGGAGGTCTGTGGTTCTGCAGGTGCAGCCGGGAACATGGTTCCCCAGGTACTTACAACCACCATAAGGGAGGTGTTTTATGGCTCTTAGTCGAAGAAGCCATTTCCTTCTGTACTGATACTTTTTGCTATGGAAATTTGCATAGACATAGTTTTCATCTCAAAAATGAGGATTGACTAGATGTGTGTCCATAAAATAGGGTTAATTCTTACACTATAGTTTAAGTATATGACAAAGGGTCTTTCTTCTTGGTTTTTAAAAAAATATATCTATAATATATTGAACTGTCGAAGTCACTAATCCCCAGAAGAAATCTCACCTGAATACCCGCTTTGTTTAAATTTCAAATGGAAAAACTTTGACCCTTTAACTATTTGAAAAATGATAACATTATGTCATAGCAAGAAAAAAAACCCTAGTAATTTCCATAAGAGGACCTTTCTTTTTAACCAATGACCTGCTTTAATTGGTTATAAGCCCAATAATTATCACTAATTAATTGAAAGTTAACAAAGTTTCAACTTTTTAACTGCTGGAGAAAATGCATGATATGTAAGGAAAAACGTAACAATGTCATTACTCTCAGTTAGCTAGAAATTCTGGGAATGTGTGAAACTATGAAGTAAGGTGAATACATGACCTTTTGGTCTCTTAATTTGTTAGATTACCATTAGTGCTTTTTCTCTTGGTCTTTAGCTAAGAACTACAAGTTCAAAGAAATGTTTGTTTTGAGGAGGGAATTTTTGATAGGTCCAAAGTGTAATCCAGCCTGCACGCATGCCAATGTAGAAAGTGCCTTGGTAGTGGCAATGTTTTCAGCTGGGGCAGCAGAATTTCTTTATCTTTGTCGCTCACTGGATTTGTATTAGAATGATACTTTTAAAATTCATTAGACCAGTAATAACACAGTGGCATTTAACCTGATACTGAGATGGCACAATGCACTCTCACCACCGTGCTCTATTCGCATAGTTACACATTAATAAAGGGCCTTTTCATTCAATTCCCTGCCTGTTCAGATGAAAGCCACTGTTAATGTTTTTTTCTTAGTTACACATCTCCTAACTATGCATTTCTTAGCTTACATTAGCTAAGTTTCTGACCCAAACCTTGGTTTAATGGTTTTTGAAATTCAGCCTCATGTACTTGGTCAAGTTGGATTAGGAAACAAAGCCCAATACATATTGAAGAAGGATCAGATAGCTTCACTCTTAGTAGCTACTGAGTTCCTAGCACAGTGCCTGGCACATGATATAAATATTTACTGAATGCATGACTGGATAAGTGAAACCACCAGCATGGCATGATTTCTAAATGTACAACAGAATAGGACAACTCAGAACTAAAAGCACAAAATTTACTTTTACCAGCTTCTACTTTGTCTTTAAAAAAACAAACAAAAACAAACAAACAAACAAACAAAATACAGGCTTTCCTGAAACTTGAACCTCTGTAAAATTTGAAGTGTAGCAATCGGGGAATATTATCTGGCTCCATTTCTCTTTGTCTGAGTTTATTCACTTTTACTATTAGCATAGCCTATTGGCATAGACTTTATGTCTTTTTGGAAAATATTGAAGGGGGAATCTCCTTTGTACCTGTAAGCCCACATTGGAGAGTTCATCTATTTTTGGGGGGGGCTGGGTCGAGGGCAGGTGCCCCAATATGATCCTCATTCTGGGTGTTCTGAAACATAGCCAAGGCTGTCTTAACTAATTATGGGAATTTGAAAAGATTAAGTAACTCAGCTGTGTACTTTTTTCCATTTGTACATTGTTGGAATGGAAGGAAAAATAATCGAAATATTTAAGGATGTAGCCCCATCATTTCCTTTCTCCATTTAGCCAGCTACTCTTTCTTCAATCGTTGCCTCAGAGAAGGCATATGACAGGAGAAAGCAGAGAAAAAGTCACCCTGTCCCTGCACTTGAGTTTTAAAGGGACACAGAAAATTAGGTGAGGAAATATAGCTGAGTAAGAACAAGGGCTTCTCAGCCTGCAAAAGAAGGCAGTTTCGAGGGGAAATGATAGATACATGGGATACTGTTTGGATGGATCTCAAAGAAAGGAGGCCCGGCACCAGCTCCTAGGCTCAGCCTGGACTGGGAAGCACTGGAGGAGATGATACTGGGCAAAACCCCAACTAGGTTAGTGAGGTTCCAAAGAAGAGATCAGAGTCTTGTCTCCCAGACAGAACCTCAGGAAGTAGAAAAGCACCGGAGAAGAAATGGCCTTGGAGAGTCTCATAGATGGCCCACTGTAGTGAGAGCAGCAGTATGAGTCCCATGGGCCTAAGATTGACCTACAAGTGGGTTAGAGATCTACCCAACTCAAAGATGGGGAATAGAGGGAACACAAAGGTGAGTAGGTCATATGGAGCGATGGATGTCTCAGCAGGTGGTATGAACAGAATACATTGAGGGTCAGACAGACTAGACTCTCCCCTACACCCCCAACTCCAACACTTGGATCTCTAAACACCTCTGCAATTTAGATACAATTACAGGTAAAAGTTTGGGAGGTTCTTAGGACTGACTGAGGTTTCTTCTACCACCCTTGTAGAAAATGGGATTGAAAAAGAGATTATGTTTGGCTGTAGAAAAATAAAACTCTTGTTTCTTATACACTTGGATTTGTAGGCTAAGATTTAGATCCACCATGTTTAAAAAAATAAGAACTGGTTAACGTTTATTGAACACTCATCATGTAGTATACCAAATATCATTTTAAGTGCTTTACATATATTAATTCATTTAGAAAAGAGCTTCTGTGTTTATGAACTTTGATTTGACTTTTACAGTGCCCTTATATAAGAACATTAGAAATACTCTCATGTATTTTTGACAAAAATAATTTGTTTTATTATTCAGAGACTGTTCATTTAAAAAGAATTTTTTTATTATGGATAAATTCTAATATACAGAAAAGTAGAAAAGATAGTATAAAAAATCCCCATGTACCCATCCCCCAACCTTAATAATTATTAACCATGAACAATCCATCACATTTCATATTTTTCACCAAATCTTAGCCATCATACCATTTTATTTATATACAGAGGATGCCAACAAATGTATACACATTTTAAAAAAGGGAAAAAAAACTATTGAAATTGTAATACTCAATGTATACAGATAAGAAAAGATGACTACAAGTCACATTTGACTTCTGCAATTACAAGAGGTGCTCAAAGTGGTTACCATGAGCATCCAGACACTTCTGATTATGGCAAACTACTGATTGAACAATGTTGGCCAAAGTGTCCATTTGTATGTATGTTTTTGGCACCCCTGGTATGTCCAGTGTGTATCTCTAAAAAATAAGGCTTCATTTCATCAAATATTCAGTGTTAGGGCCAGCCGAGTGGCACGTAGGTTAAGAGCTGGCTTGGGACGCCAGAGGGCCTTGGTTCGGATCTCACATATGAGGGCCAGTGACACTGCCCTCTACAGCTAAGATGCTGAACAACAGCTCAACCTGGAGCAGGGCTGCCCTGAATCACCAGCGACTGCGCCCCTGTAGCAGTGGGTTGCCGTGGGCTACCGTATGTAGCCAGCAGCCAGCATGAGCGGCCAGCAGCCGCAGTGAGCGGCCGTCCAGAAGCCGGCGACTGATCTGCCTCACCCGGGAAGAGCGCAATGATGGTGCCAACTTGGGCCATGAAGCAACGTCCTCCACAACTAGACTGAAGAACAAAAGAACAGCAACTTGTCTGTTCCCCTTCCCCCAATTCCCCAATAAAAATCTTAAAAAAAAAATATTCAGTGTTCAAATATCCCCAATTGTCTCATAGATTTTTTTTTAACATTTGTTTATTTAAATCAAGATCCAAACAAGATCCACACATTGCATTTCATTGATATCTTTTGTGTCTCTTATTGTTTAGGTTTCCCTTTCCTCTTTATATTAATTTTTGCTCATATTTTATTTACTGAAAAATTAATGTCAGCTGTCTGTAGATTTTTCCACATTCTGAGTTTTGCTGATCTTCATCTAATCATTTAGCATGTTCCCCTGATCACTGTTGATTCTTGTAGCTATTGCTAATTTTTAGTATCATTTTTTGTTTGTTGACTCCATTCTTTAAGCTATATGTTTACATCCAACATAACAGAGCCCTGACTGAAAACAAAATCACTATACAACAAAGTTTGATGGTAGGAGGAAGTCATTTTAATTTTCAATGACTCTAAAGCTTTCACCTGTGAAATCTAAATCTCACTCTGTTCTATTGAATAAGCATTGCCCCCTTCCATCCAACACTGTGGTCTAACCAGACATTTATTTACAAATGACTAACCGCTTGTCTCAAAAAACTTTATTTAAACCAAGACAAACATAACCACACATAAAACATTAATTTGTCTTGGCTTTTGTGTCCTGCTCCCGTGTTTCTAATTTCTTTTTGTTTACCAGACAATGCCTGGTGCCCTGGGATCTGCGATATGCTAATCTGTTCTCCATTCACTGAGGGATTGAGGTCATCCCTCCGGGAACAGGCTTTCATCTGATTAGACATATTGAATGGATGATTTATTTCCATTCAGGCCTCTGCAGAGAAGACAGACAGTGGACTCTCCCCTGAGAAAAGGTGGGTCTGATTCTAGACAGCATTTGATATACTCACAGCTGAGAACTCTTAAAAACAAAGAGTGAGGGAGGGAGGGTGGAGGGTGTTGTGTTGTATTCAGAGCAGGTAGTTGCAGTTTAATAATCAGATAAACCATCCACAAGTTCTTGTAGCTCATGTGTATGCACTCTGAAAAGGTACTATTATTATTTTAGATTTGACCTTTTGAGTGACACTGGCATTGACTTATATGCTACTTATTTGGCCTCAAAATTCTCTCATCGCTAATGCCCTTTAAGGCTTCTCCAAACTCTGTTATGTAAGACATGTATATGCTAGTCGGCTAAATGCTTTCTTAAGCTGTCTTTGTTGCAAACAATTACCAGTTGCGTGTAGCTTCAAACCTACTTTATGTTTTTCAAGAGTACAGTTATTTTTATTGCATCCAAGCTCCAGTTTATAACAAATGAATTTGCAAGCAGAAAAAAGCTTGGAGAAATGAAAATGTAGAACCATATTATTGGAGAAAGCACATGTTGTGTTTAGATGTCAGCTTTAGAAGGAAAATAGTGATGTACTCAGAAGTAGAAACTGGTGAACATTGCTGCATCCACTATCGAGACAGGGACATCAGAAGGTTGCCACTCAGTCTCAAACCCTGTGAAAAGATGAGATTTTCTCTACAACTAAAAACAAGCATGCCCCCCTCCATGCCTTTAAAGATTGGAGAGAAATGGAAAGTAGGCTGTTTAAGAGGAGGGGCAAATAATACTTTATAGCCTTAGCAATTTCCAAAATGTTCTCTTTTCTCATTTTAACTTCAAGACAACCTTGTGGAGTGTGACATTATGCCCATTTTTAAGAAAAATAAATGATATAAAAAATAAATGAGATTAAATGACTTGTCCAAAATCACATAGCCAATAAGTTCCAGGATTTGAAAGGAGGTCTTTGGATCCGCTTTGCATGCTACCTTCCACCAGCCCTCACCACAGAACCTACGCGCTTCACACTGTTAGCCTCCCCTTGCCTTTCCCATTGATTCCCAGTGAGCTCTGAGCTGCCTTTTCAGGCTCCTGTAAGGAAAGGAAGTGGCTCTTCCGCCTTACCTCCCTTCAGTGCACTGCTTGATACCTATCTGCTGACTTACAGGGTATCCTTGGGCAAGATGCTTCTCCTTAAGATTTCTTCTACTACTTAAATGCTCTTTTTCTAAATTAAGACTTTAAAGCATAATGAAAATAATAGCTACCATTTCTTGAGCACTATTTGGAATTAAATACTGTACTGAATCTTTTGCATGCGTTGTTGCTAACCACACAGCCCTGCAACATTAACTGACTGTATGGTAAGTCTCCTGAGCCACAGGGAAGCGAAGCATGTGCCCCCATCATTTCTCTCTTGAATGATTGCAATAGCCTCTTAATTAGTCTTCTTGCTTTCACTTCGGCATCGCCACTTCCATTTTCTACAGAATCATCTTGTTAAAATTTATATCAGAACAGGTCCCTACCCTGATGGCTTCCCATCCGACTTAGCCCACCAAGGCTCACACTCCTCACCACTTTCTCTTCTCCCTTATACTCAGTGGTAGTCAGAATAATGCCCCCCCCCCCAAAGATGTCCATGTTCTAATTTCTGGAACCTGTGCATTGTTACTTTACATGGCAAAAAGGACTTTGCAGATTTAATTAGGTTAAGGAATTTGAGGTGGGGCATGGCTTTTTGGGTGATTATCCTGGATTATCTGAAGGGGCTCCATGTAGTCACAAGGGTCCTTATAAGGAAAAGAAGGAGACAGTGGGAGTTGGGGGTGGCAGGGGTGGTCATAGAGAGATTTGAAGATGCTAGGTTGCTGGTTTTAGAAACAGAGGAAGAGGGCCGGCTGAGTGGCTCAGTTGGTTAAGAGCTCGCTCAAGAGTTTGAGCTCTGAGCAACAGCGGTTCGAGTCCAGCCCGAGCTGAGCAGCCNGAGCTCTGAGCAACAGCGGTTCGAGTCCAGCCCGAGCTGAGCAGCCGCTGAGCTGCCAACAGCGGGCAGGATGGCTCAGCTTAAAAAAAAAAAAAATAGAAACAGAGGAAGAGACCATAAGCTAAGGCGTGCAGGCAGCCTCCAGAAGCTGGATAAGGCAAAGAGGGCATTTGGCCCTGTTGAAACCTTGATTTCAGCCCATTGAAACCCATGCTGGATTTCTGATCTACAGAACTAAGATAATAAACATGTGTTTAATTATCACTAAGTTTCTGACAATTTGTTACAGCAGCAATAGGAAATTAACACATACTGTCACTGATATTCTGTGCTTCCAACTCTCCAGACTTGTTCTGGCTTCAGGGCCTCTGCACTTGTTTCCTCTGCCTGGAATGCTTTGCCCTGAAATCCTAGACCACCCCACCTGAGGCACCCCACCTGCCCATCACTGTCACATACTTTCTTTTCTTTTCTTTATATTATTAATGCCTCCTGAAGTTACATTACTGATTAATTTGTTTATTTTTGTTGCATCCAACAGCAAGTTTAAGCTCCATGAGAGAAGGGTCATATCCATCTTTTTCATTGCTACATCCTGGATCTAGGATATTGTCTGTCACAGAGTGTCCCTCTGTCTTAATGTAGACAGACAGTAAGTGATGGCTTTGGAGGAAGGTTAGGATTGGAAGTAGCAGAGCACATACACAAACTCAGGTCCATGTACTCCCAAACATTTATAAGATGGGCCTATTGCTCAGCCGTCTCCCACCACTTTGCAGACGGTTTCTCCTGGAACTTCGTCAGATTTGGAAATGAGGGAGAGGTGGAATATATTCAGAGGAATAATCTTACTCTGCCTCTCTCCTCATTGTTGGTGTTTTTGTTAGTCACCATGGAAGACTTCTAGAAGCAAAAAAGAATGGATCCATTTCAGAGGTCCTTGTTGACTGTAACACTGTAAGACCTTTACAATATCTAGGATATCTTTACTGTGTATACAGTAAACTCGATATTTATATTTTAGTTTTGTAATTAGAAAACTTGAATGTCCATTTAGTTCCTTTCCAAGAGGCCAGGTCCAAAGAAGAAAATTCAAGTGGTTCCCTTCCCCCACTTGTATGAATATTAGCAGCTATATTAATACCACACATTTACAAACGTTAACATGGTTCTCCTAGATTCAGAACATGTCTTCTGGGATTTGTGTGGGAAACATGGGAGTAAGTACTTTATAGATGTCAATAAATTTTTCTGCGGTATCACAAACAGCTGGAAAATATCAACAAGGATATTGGTTTGCAGGAATCTGCAAAGGCATTCTCCAATCCCAGCACCACAGTGGTTGGGCTAAGTGAGAGGATGGGGGAGGGGAAGAAGAGATGGAGGAACGGCCCCAGGCACGCCGGGCACATAGCACTCTCACTGCTAGCTTACCAGAGGTGAGGACTACTGCCTCTCAGTCCCTCCATCCATAATCCCATGAATGAATCTTATTGGGTTATATGTGTGTCCCTTTAACCAATTTTTGTGGCCACAGGGATGTGGTGATGTGCTTGGATAATACTGGGTTTCATGCCCACCTTGAAATTTAGGGTCAGAATCAACTCCACTTCATAGCTTCAAGAAGAGCTAGGGAGAGGTGCTTTCCTAAGGAAACCAGGATGTTATTACCAAAAGAAGGACTAGATGCTGGGCAGGCAAAAGCAACACGTGCCTTCTTCTACCTTCCCCAATTGCTAAAGGTGGAGTTTCAGGCACCAAGACTTTTGGGTAAGGGAGATACTTTGGAAGTGCTTTTTTGGGTCCTCAGATAACACCATGTTGCCACCAGCCTACTTCAAAAGCATTAAAGAGCCATCTGGTCTGGGTGTGACTATTCTACCCATATGCTTACAGTTCTAGCTTAAATCTCTTGGCTTCTAAAATCAGGTAGCAGCATTTAAATATGCTGAATTCTGAAAATGTTGGGATTATAAATAGTTCATCATATTTTATAAGTGAGAACAGCAGCTCTAAGAACTTCAGCACTCAAAAACACTCAAAACCTCCAGCAGGATTCATGGGTTTTCCTGTTTCATTGTGTTTGTTTGTTTTGTTTTGTTTTGTATAGTTGAAAAAATGGATATTTTATTATCAACAATTATTCTTGTACTAAATGGATGGTATAACAAAACTTTCTATATAGATAAAAACTTCAAATGCTTATTTTGTTTCTTAAGTTTATGTTTGAATATTTTAGCGTGTGTTCGTGTTTCTATTTCCTATACTAGATTTTCAGAAAGTATGTTAAATTTTAAGTTCGTTAAACTAAAGCTTTATTTCTTATGAAAATACAAAATAAAGGGTATTAATCATATTGCTCTGATTAGATATGTGTCTCATGTGTTGCTGATTTGCAACATTTAAGTTAGATGCCTTTTATTTTTTCTAGAGTTTTACTTTATAGGGCCTTTGCTTACTATGTTTTATAAAAATATTGTTTTATAAAAGTAGTTTATGTATTTTTTTATTTTTTACATTTTGTATTTTATGGATAATCGGACAAGGCATTGAAATTTATTTCGCCATCTCCACTTTTGTTATGGAATAAATTGTAATCTAAATATACTATAATCGTGTCTTTTAGAATTTGCCATACACTTTTCCAGGTGCCTGTTCTACCTTAGGAACTTTATTAGGGACATCTGTTGTTTTCCTTTATCCCGCATCCCTTTTTCTTTAAGAAGAGCACCAGCCCCTTAACTGTTCCTCCTCTACTGCGTTTGGCTCTGGTGGGACTGCAATTGCGATAATGCTGCCTTTGGCCGAGGGTTCTAGTAGGTGATCCAGCCTAGGCTAGCTGATTTGGGAATAAGGAAATTGAGGAATGGACAGGCCATGAGGTTGGATGGACCATTCACATAGATATTGAAATCACCAAGAACGATGACAGGAGAATGGAGAAGAGAAAGCCAGTAAACCCAGTGTTGAAATGTCCAAGAAATGTATGGGAGTGACCAGGAGGACAAGGAAAGAACCACAGCAAGGAGGTCTGGAAGGCAGTGCAGTCT